TCGTGGGCTACGCGGCCTCAATAGCGGCCCTCGTCGTCTCCCTCTGCATATTTTTCTACTTCAAGTGAGACCATCACACTCAGAGAATTCTGTGAAACTTTGTCAAAAGGGCGGTGCGTTTTCTGTTTTTTTTTTTGGGGTCATCCTGACGGGTCTTTCCTTGAAAATTAACGTGTCAGTGATGCGTGTAGATAATGTCTCATTATTAGGACGATTTGACCCACTGTCTTTTCTGAAGCCACAGATAGCAACGAGCACTCGTTTAAAGTCCTAAATTAGGTCTTGTTAGCAGATGTAAGGTAAAGCGCTCATGTAAATTAATGGGTAATGTTGTCCAATTAGTGACACACTTTCTTTCCCGCAGCACGAGCAATCGAAAGTTGGCAAAGACATGAAAACCTGAAGTTTGCAATCTTCCATGCATTCTCCCTGAAAAAGTCTAAAGAAAATTGGAAATAGTTAAATTAATGGATTAAGAACGTTCCATTAATGGATTATGAATCTTCCATTAATGAATTAAAAACGTTCCATTAATGGATTAAGAACGTTCCATTAATGGATTATGAATTTTCCATTAATGGATTAAGAACGTTCCATTAATGGATTATGAATTTTCCATTAATGGATTAAGAACGTTCCATTAATGGATTATCAATTTTCCATTAATGGATTAAGAACGTTCCATTAATGGATTAAGAACGTTCCATTAATAGATTAAGCACGTTCCATTAACGGATTCTCGTCGTCGTTTCAATCGTTCGGTCATCATTATAGAAGTTCACTACAAAGGCGATGCAAGACATATAGCCAGTGAGCTGAATTACGAACAGTGCGTTGTCTAAATAGCGACGTGATTTCTCATTTTATTGCTTAAGTTTACTTGTTTTTAATATTTGATCTGAAGCTCTGAACCAACCACGACATGATATATGTTTAGCTTGAAAATTCCAGCTCTCGTATGATGGGAAACGTTAATTAATTAATAATACAGTCAAAGATTTGCTAATGAGATCATATAATTGAGTTTACTAAATTTTTATGCTCGGACTTCAAAATTATTTTATTTTCATTCATATAGTAAAACTGTAAATTATTCATTATATTTGTGTGATTCTGTGTGTGAATCGTTGCTTTACTCTTTTCTTACTGAGTTCAGGAGAAGACGTTCTGTTTGTGTCAGGAGCCAAACAATCATCGTGGGTATCGCTGTCCCGTGTTTCTGGTGCCCTACCATGCCCATGTTTCAGATACCCTGCCATGCCCATGTTGCAGGTGCCCTACCATGCCCATGTTTCAGGTGCCCTACCATGCCCATGTTTCAGGTGCCCTGCCATGCCCATGTTTCAGGTGCCCTGTCATGCCCATGTTTCAGGTGCCCTGTCATGCCCATGTTTCAGGTGCCCTACCATGCCCATGTTTCAGGTGCCCTACCATGCCCATGTTTCAGGTGCCCTACCATGCCCATGTTGCAGGTGCCCTACCAATGGCTACCATGCCCATGTTTCAGGTCGCTGAAGTGCACGCGGGTGAGCATCCACAAGAATCTGTTCGTGTCGTTCCTGGTGAACAACGTCCTGTGGCTCGTGTGGACCACCGTAGTCACCAGCAACACCCGCGTGCTGCTGCTCAACCCTGTGCGTCGTCCAAGTATTGAATATTAACTTAAATTGTGATATAATTATCGTAGGACAAGTGTAATAATAGTTAACAATAGTGTAAGCAGAAGGAAATGTGAAAAAAATGATTCATGTGAAATAGTAAAAATTTTGATGCTAAGTTTCTGGTGAGCACCATACCGTAGTCACCAGCAACACCCGCGGGCTTCTGCTCAACCCTGTGCGTCGTTTAAGTACTGAATATTAACTTGAATTGTGAAATAATTATCTCAGGAAAAGTGCATTAATAGTTAGCAATAGTGTTAGCAGAAGGAAATGTGAAAAAAGTGATTCATGTGAAATTGTAAAAATTTTGATGCTAAGTAACATGCATGGTCCTGCATGGGTTGTAGAGACTGGAAATTTGGTTGGGGTTTTAATTGTTGCATTATTGGAGGAAGTAGAAACAAAGGGAGTTTAATGGGGTGGAAATTTCAGGAAGTTGAGGTGAAACTTAGTGTGGTGAGAATAGATTATGTTTTAGATAATTATTGATAATCACGCCAATTATCAATTCTGGGTTTTGAATTAAAGGATGCGAGTCCGGTGCGAATATATTTCCAATGGGACGCCGACGAGGTCACTTCTTTGATCGTGCATCGTATGTGATAAATATCGGGCTTGATGTCCAATAAATTGAATCTAGATGAAATGCAAGCAATCGTCTAAGGAACGAATGGGACTAAATTTCTAAGTCGATTACTACAAATTTTGAAAATATTATTTCTTGACGAGATCGTCGCAATCGCAGTTCGAGTGTTCTCACACTGAACATTCATACACTGCTTGTTCCTACATATCAAGCATTGAAGTACAAGCAAAAGCTCCAGTATCATCTCTAGACAAGCCTAATTTTGGCAATTTGTAGAAAAATTAGCGACAAATGATCATTTCACACATTCTCTTCTCCATTATTATATCGCATCATTTGAATGCACTGACCCATAATTATGTTTCTGTAATTTTTCTACATTTTTACGCACAGTCAATAATTTATTTTATTAAAAGTTAGAAATATCGGCCACTATACTAAACTATGCCATAAAATCGAAGAAGCGCTGGGTCAGATGTTGTCATAGCTTCTCTTGTGGAAGAAGCCTCATGCTTCCTACACTGACGAAGTCAATAATGTTAAAGACATCGGGGATAATAAAACAACACTTAAATTAATATAGTTCCTCGATTTTATTTGAATTTTGTGATTTATACCTTGAATTTATAAGAAGTTTACAACCCTCGTCTGAGTTTACACTGCGTTGCTCACCCCGCGCTGTGCAGATGTGGTGTCAGCTGCTGCATGTGCTCATGCACTATTTCCTGGTGAGCACCTACTTCTTGATGTTGTGTGAGGGCTTGTTGCAGGTGTGGTGTCAGCTGCTGCATGTGCTCATGCACTATTTCCTGGTGAGCACCTACTTCTGGATGTTGTGTGACATTGATGAGAATATTTTCTGCCGTTAGCTGCTGGATGGACGAGAGCTCGTACAACTACTTCATGTCCCTGCCCGTGGTGCTGTCCATGTTCCTCAACCTCGTCTTCCTCGTTAACATCGTCCGCGTCCTCGTCACCAAACTGCGGGCTGCCAACGCCCCGCCAACCCACGCTGCCACCAGGAAGGTCACATTATTATTTTAATATCATATGCCGATCAGTTAAAGTTTAATTCCAGATATTTATTTTCATTGTGTGGGTAAAACCGACTAGATAAGGTAAAGAAGAATAGTTCATACATATGAAAAAGTTATTATTTTAAGCAAGAAGAAAATAAAAGTTAATTCCAGATGTTTATTTTCATTGTGCGGGTAAAACAGACTATGTATAGAAAACGATTAAAGTTTATTTCTAGGTGTTTATTTTCATTGTGTGGGTAAAACCGTCTATGTATAGGGATACGATTAAAGTTTAATTCTAGGTGTTTATTTTCATTGTGTGGGTAAAGCCGACTATGTATAGAAAACGATTAAAGTTTAATTCTAGATGTTTATTTTCATGATGTGGGTAAAACCGACCGTGGGTATCTTAATATCTTCATAGTACTTCCTGCGTGACGAACAAATGAGTTCTAGTACGGTACTTCATCTAGTCGGCGATGAATGAATGGGTCATAGGGAAACAAAAAATAGTTCACACTAAAAAAACATTAGGATTTCATGCAAGAACAAAATGACATCCATGTTCCGGCCATTTATTGGTTGTTTAATAGTTAGTTTCATTGTTTTTGCTCGAGACGCTTCAGTCCCAGGCCACTCTGGAACGTCTTCGTAACATTCCGCCGCCCTCTGTCCCAGCAGGCATGTGACACGATACCATGTCACTGTCATTGCCGAGAAAATAATATATGTGGGAATTTTTTAGTGGAGCATTAATAGCTAATATTTTCACAGCTTACACTGTATTTTCGCTCTCAGAAAAATGAATGGGTTATTTTGTCCAAATGGGATAGTGCGGCGGCACGCCCTTATGTCCACAGCACGAGCAGCGAGAGAACTTAAATCTGATACTCATTCAAACATGGAAAAAATCTCACGCATTTCACGCATTTCTTTGAATAAAGGTTCACGGACGGCCCATTCTTCGATCAACATTCTGATTTCTTGTATTTTCACAATGAAAGATGTGAAGCTTGGAGTTAACATCTTTTCTATCGTCGAAGATTTACAATATTTTTCATGATTTGCTTATTAAAACAAGACAATTATAGCTCGAATTATTCATCTGATAGTTGTTGTTGTTGTAAGGTTCGCTCGGATTTATTTCATGCATTAACCATGTCAAAGCTTCCCTCTGAACCCTCAGGCGGTGAGGGCAACCCTCATCCTGGTTCCCCTGCTTGGCCTTCACTATCTCCTGACGCCCTTCAGGCCTTCATCAGGCTCCGCCATGGAGAAGTCCTACCTCATCCTCTCCGCCATCGCCTCATCCTTCCAGGTGATAATTGTATTTATTTATCGTTTTATCGTATCGTATTTATTTATCGTCCTTCCAGGTGATGTTATCAATATAATATTTATTGAAGTCTTCCATGAGAAGAATGTGTAGGGAAATATTCCCTACGCTGGAGGTAATCCTCTTCTAGGAATGATCAAAAGTTAAGCGCTAAACAGGATAGAAAAAGTGATTATAATATCAATTTAGGCATTTTAATAAGAATTTATTCACAGCTTCGTATTCGAGGCAGTTTCTTCATTTTCAAGACAGTTTGAAATCCATTTAGAAAGATGCGTCCAGGTTTAACTTAATTTTAGGAAGAAAAAACCTAATATCTCTATATTTAAGATTTCTGGCAATGACCGAATGAAAAGTATTTATTAAAGCTATCTATGTAAACTATACACTTCTCTACATATATTTAATATTTGTATATTCTAACTTGCTTGTAAATTAAGGCAGATAGATTTTCTTTATTAGAATTTTGCCTGCGTCTATATTGCCTATCATGAAGTTAGATTTCACCATATTCATGTAGAATTTCATGGTTTAATAGGTTTTAATAGGTTCGCTACTGTTCAATTTAGGGAATTCATATTTCTGCCCTACGTTGAGACACCTACGCGGTCTTATCATCAGGAGCCCTGGCATTAAATGCAAAATTTATAACCCACTAATTTAGGCTTCTAAAATTAGTCAATAATTGTTGAACTCATTTTTGTTCTAATTTGAACAATTTAAACAATATTTTCAGCTAATTCAGTGCAAAAATGAGCTATTTTGAATTATTTTGTATTTTATGCTGAGTGAACAACAATTAGATATTCCTGGATACATTTTTTCTGCGTAAATGGCTACCGCCTAAACATTGTAAGCCCCTTTTAGGAAATAGGTAATATTATAACACTGCAGTGTCACTACATCCCGAACTTAACAGTGACAAAGATAATCTGCTCACTATCGAGTCAAGCTTCCTACGAAGCTGCCTCGTCACTATAACCTAATGGGTGATTGTACACGATAACCACGCAATCTCCTCAATTTAGCCGCAATCTCATCACAATCTCTGAACTTGGCAAGATAAGAACTTGGTCGACGCGCCTGTGCTGATGATTGATGCGCGTCGCGGCTTACAGAGACTCGTGCGTCACTCACGGCAAACTTGGGAAAATATAAGTCGAATTTAGAGCACACTGGCTGTAAAAAAAATCAATTATAAATCCACTTATTAATTCTCAGTACGTATTTGGATTTCACCATGTACAATTCAATTTTTAAGATCGCTTATGGAGATAATAATATAATATCATAATAAAATGTGTGAAAAGAACAACTTCGAAGGTATGTTTACCTGATGATTCCCAAACATTGAAATCGCGGACTGCACCTCGATCAGGTTCCGCGTTAAAGACATCATCAATAATGGTAGTTTTCATTCAGTCGTTTCAAACTTGACAAAGCATCTTACATTTTAGCAAATATCTCAATATGATAGCATGTATCGCTACAGGTTTTGGCTTCCGTTCACGTCCTTCAGTTTTCAAAACACACGCTATAGCATTAAAACTTAAGCGATAAAAATCATGGCAGAAATATTGGCTGAGCTTCAATCGCCTAAAGTGTGCTTAAATCATAACGATTATGGGTGAGAGGGCGGGTTACCATCCTAAAGCGTGTTGTCGAGACCGTAATATTAACATCACAATTTGTGTTGACGAGACTGCGGTATTTCCTTCAAAATTTGTGTTGATGAGACTGCAGCATTTCTATTACTTGTGAAGGCTTCTCAATACATTGTTCACCGTTTATATTAGCTGCACAACGTTCAGTATTAATTAGTTACGCAGCAGCTTTGGTCTCTGCAGCCAGATGCATCGCTGAAGTTAACGGTTGTAGATTTGATTAGCCATGTCTTAATAATGGTGTAAGTTTTGATTTTTTCGTTGGTTGATCATAGTTGGAATTCGAAATTCATAGCATTGACGCTGAAATTCTTGATATACGGAAATGAGATGTCACGGGGTGATTTTATAGCGAATCAAATTTCGGAATATAGCTCCAAATGTTCGTCATATATGAGAATATGAGCATTCCTGTTATGATTTCAAGCAATATGGTAGCACAGAAACAGTGCATTGTTGCTTACAAATGAATTCTTTTGCTTTTCTTCTCGCTGTTCATGAAAGGTGCTCCGACACCATTTGATCCGTATATATGGAGCAATTTAGAGTGTTTACACACACAAACTTCACAAATGATTCTCATGATTTTAAATAACGCAATTCGCAATTCTTTTTATTTAATAATTTATGGACATTTTTTCAATTTAGAGATGCCATGAAGTAGGTGGAGTGGCAAAATTAATAGTCAGTTATTAAACGCGAATCTTTTTTCTTCTTAAAAAAGACTTGATTGTCGGCTTCAGATATGAGGCAATGAAATGATCACACCTTATTTATTGCTAGTGTTTAGAGGTAGCCATAATTTTGCTTGGTGCACTCAGAGGAATGAGCGAGTCTGTGTCCAATTAGCGATGCATTTTTTGCTCCTGAGCGGGTTATCCTGAAGTAGTTTTGCCCGGCAAATGAGCGTATCACTGCTACAACCGCTCATGACTCGTGCTGTGGGCAAGAAACTGTGTCACCATTTCAACAATATTACCCATTCTTTTTTTCTGAATGTTGACATCAAGCAGATTGTGGCTTAGACGGGTCAAGGTCGAGGTCAAGGTCAAGGTCAGCGGCCTAAGTACACGTAGCGGCCTTAGTACACGTAGCGTGTTAAATAATGGCCTAATGGCTTATTTCTCATCTATGATTGGTTGGTTTCACTTAAAAAGCCGTCACTGATTGGCTGACGAAGTTATGAACATTATCACGAAAGTATTAATGAGAGCACGGCTGATGAAGAGCTGGGCTGGGCCTACACTTTCTAAAAAAGTTAAGAGATCGTAAGTTCATCAGCCAAGTATATAAGACCCATTAAATTTTCTGAGCGTAGACTGTTCTCTAAGCTATCATGTATCAATTTCCACATACATTCACTTTCAGCTATATTATATGAAGCCATCATAAAAGTAAAGCAAGCCTTTTAATTTTAAATGAGTCAGGAATACTCCGTCTACTCCGTCCCTGCAGTATTCATGAAAGTTAAATTTTTAACTTTCACGACCTGTCACTGCGTTTCAAGCAAACAATTCGGATTGTCAAGACTTATCGATAGGTTCTTTTTGCATTTTCTCAAATGGCATATGTTTTTGCCGTTGAATTTGCATATTCTGCGTAGGTCCGAAGACTGTGCCAGTTCATGAAATTTAGGTCGAAATAAAGTAATATTGTTTCCATTAATAGAGTTAATAAGTTCGTGTTCGTGGAATCTGCTTGTATATCCATTAGAAATGAAGTACATAAATAATGAAACTTGAATTCAAATAAATTAATTGGTTATGAATATTTATAATGAGGTCATGTTATGGTTATAATTCGTATGTGTAATATTCGCCGATTGAAATATCGAAGAGTAAACTGAAATGCCGAATCAGAGACACAAAAAGGACTCATTTCAAGATCAACTTGATTAAAACAGCAAGTTGTCTAAAAGTTTCTGTACAACTTACGTTATCATTTTCTGAAATATTCGGAAATGTAGCACCATGGCATATTGCCCATTTGTAAATAAGACTCAATGCACAAAAAAACGCTCATCGAATTCAAGTCGTCACTTGGAAAATTCATCTTTTTTGGCCAGATAAAAATAACAGTGACATCTGTCTAACAACTCTCATTTAATATTCGTGTTCCTGAAAATTGAATTATTAGCGCACTCGTTGATAGGGAAAATTTTTCAGAAGGCCAAAGCCCAAATATCTGAACAGAATCATTCGCGTTTTGCTGAAAAGCAAAAATGCAGTAGAGTAAGTCTTATTTTTTCAACGCATGCCGGAGCTTTTCTGAATTTTCTATATTCTGAATTCATTTACATTTTTGTATAACACGGTTGGTTAATGACCAGAGAATTCGTCAAATTAAATTTTCAGGGTCGAACAATATTCTTCAGATACATTAGTTGATCAAAATGCAGGTTCAAGGGAGTAATATCAATTTATTAACGACGTTTCGAATGTAACAACATTCATTTTCAAGTTATAGGAAGCATTGAATACAGAAATTTTGATGGAAATAAGTACATGATACAAGTAAATAGGATACAACAAGAAAATTTGGAACCGTGAAAATAATTCCAAAACAATCTCAAAGTTTAGAAAATCAGGTAGTTATGAGATGATAGATGCAGTCCAATCCGCAGAAAAGGGCTTCAGCTATCGTCGGTCGGATAATGTCTGGCCACTGCATGATGACGATGCTGGTGGGTTCCTCCAGCACAGTGCAAATGACAGTCTCGTTGAGATTAACGTTGTCGAGAGTGTCACGGGACCAATTGATTTCATCGCGGATCTTGAGATGAAGTTGCTCGATTGTGATGCTTTGAGACCTGGTCTGGTTGCGCGCTTGTCTCAGGTGGCAGGATAAACGGCTGCTCAAAGTCGAAGTGGAGATACAGCACCTACTTACATGATACAGCACCTACTTACATCCCAGTTAAAATTTTGAGCCGAGACCGGCGCCGGGTTTAGCCGGGCTGGTCGCGCTTTAGCAGGATGGAGCCGTGAAACTATAACTGGCCATCTATCCCTAAAACGGCGCTGCGCCATGGTTAATATAGAGACAAAATTCTAGCAGCTCGGCAGGGCCGGAACTCCCCGCTGTTTTAGCGCTGGTACTTGGATTGCCCGGCAGGGAGCTAAACAGAGCAGCTAAGCAGGCCGTGCATGGGGGGGGGCATTGAGAGAGGGAGGAGAGGTAGGGGTAAGAAACAGCTAGTGGCGGGAAAATGAGCTTCATCCTTCATCTAGTTCATCCGCATAGTACGTTATTTTGGGTCAATTTATGGTGCCAGTTATGATATTTATTTCACGTCAGTATTATAATACTTTGAATTAC